ACTTGAGCAGGTACTCATGTTACAGCCATTCTTGGGACAGGTCCCACTTTATATTTATTATCATTAATTTCAAAATGAGAACTCAACATCGCTCAGCACAAGACTATTTTGTAACTTCCCTTCTCCCTGCTCCCACCCGTCCCTGGCCGATGACTTAGCCGTACACGCCATTGAGAAAACAGAAGCAACTGAACTCAAGCTACCTCACTTTCCCCACCAGTGCTTATTTGCCTCTGTACCTGCAAACTCTTATTTTCTACTGTTGGAGGGGGAAAAATAAGATATCCTTGCTCCTCTCCAAGTCCACCCCTCCCCTTATGGTTTAGTTTGTATCTTCTCTCAGCCCTTTCACTTTTCTGCATCATTAGTTTTTCTTGTCACTGAATCATTTCCATAAGTACAAGGCATGCCTTCATATCAGCGATTTGAGAAAAGTCTCTCGTGCTCCCCCAATTTATTCCAGCTATGGCCCCCATTTCTTTATTCCCCTTCAAGACAAGATTTCTCAAAAGAATTGTCTACATTCACTATATCCACTTTCTTCCTGTCATTCTCTCTTTATCACATTCCAAGTGCTTTCATACCCTTCAATTTGCTTATCAAAGTCAGCTACAGTTTCCAAATTTTGAAATCCAGTGGCCAGTGTAGCCTTTCAGCAGCAGCTGGCCACTGTCTCTGGCCCAGATCTCTCTCCAGATCATGCAGCCAGCTTCTACTTGACATCTCCACCTGGGTGTCTAATAGGCACCTCAATGTTAATCTGTCTAAAACCCAACTCTCTGATCTAATCTGTTTCTTCCCTGTTCTTCCTTGTTTGTGTCAGGTAAGAGCACTGCTGTCTACCTAATGGCTGTGGCTAAAAGTCTAGTTTCCTTGATCTCCATATCCATCAGTAATTCAACCCTAATTTAGCCACTTCACATCTCCTCCACTCCCCTCTTAGTCCAGGCTGCCATCGTCTCTTGCCTAGGATCCTTCAGCAGCACATCCTCCTTAATTGTCTCCCTGCTTCTGTTTTTGCCCCTCTGTAGTCCATTCTCCACAAACAGCCAGAGTGGTCTTTTTAAAACTTAGATCAGATCATATCTCTTCCATGCTTAAAAACCTCCCGTGGATTTCCATTGCAGCTAGAATAAAATCAGAGCTTCTTGACCCAGCCTCTGCCATTTCTCTGTCTTCATCACCTTGCACTATTGTTCACTGGACTGCAGCCTCACTGGCTTTCTTTCTGTTCCTCAGACATCTGAGCTTGTTCTCACTGATGGGTCTTTGCAAAGAAAGCTATTCCTTCTACCTGGAGGGCACTTCTCCCAGATGTATACGTGACTGGTGTAGTCTCAGCTGGATATAAGCTGTGTAGAGAGGCCTTTCCTGATCACCCTGTCTAAAAGGAATCCCTGTTTCTGTGCTTTGTCTCAGGACTCCCTTTTCCTCCCTTGCTTCCTCCCTTCCTTCCTTCAATTCATAGTACTTATTACCTTACATTGTGTTATTTAGTTATCAGTATATGTACGACTGTCTGTCTCCTCCTCAGTGAAATGTAAGCTCCATTACTCCTTTTCATCGTGCATTCCCACTGCCTTACGTGTCAAATGGGAGGTACTTGATAAATATTTGAATGAATGTACAGACAATTAAAAGCAAAAGGTAACATCATAGCAAAAGGTAAGTTTAGAAAACTTCAGAGAGTTCAGTGCTCCTTTGGAGTCAGAAAGACCTGGGTTCTAATCTTTGCTGGGGGATCCTGAATCTTCCTGAGCCCATTTCTTCATCTGTAAAGTGGGCTTAATAATAGTCCCCATCTCATAGTCTTATTGTGAGGATTTAATGTACTTAAAGGGTCTAGCACATGGTTAAGTGCTGGTTAGTAAATGTCAGTTCCTTTCGCCTTACACCTTTGACATGGGTAAGGTGCTCAGGAAGGGTGTATAAACAATATTTGGGCCTCTGACAAGACCCTTGGACTGAACCATTCAAAAGGTCCTGGTTATGGTGACAGCTTAATGAATCCGCTGTTCAGATTTCTATGTAAAGTAACACTTGAGATGTTTTATTTAATAGCATTGCCACTTTAGTATATTATAATGGCTTCTTTCACCACCTTCTACTACTCATTTGTAAAGTCTTTTTCCTGGGTTTTATTATGTGTTGTTTGGTGGTAAGTAATGGTTCTCCTTTGGCTGGCTGAATAACAATCGTCATTATTTGTAATCTATAGTAAAGAGGGAGGGGAAAGGAAAATTCAGTTTAACATTTTCTGATGCTTGAAAATTAGAAGTATTTTTAAAGTCTGGGTTTACTGTAGTCTAAGATGGTTTGTGTAGTCTAGATGGTTCTGCATTAGAAATGAAAAATGTACCATACATCTTAATTTTGTTTTCATGCTTTTATTTATTTATTTGTTTGTTTGTTTGTTTAGCCCCATTTCGGTGTGCTGTAGCTGTTTAATTTGAATTGAATTGACTCTGCCCCTGATGTAGATGATAGGGATCCAGATATGAGGATGGCCTTTCCCCTGCCCTCAGAGGGTTCAGTGGAGAAGATAACATAAGGGTGCCTGCCATCTCCAGTGGTGATAAAGATCATAGGAGGAGGCGGGCAGGGTATGTTGAAGGAGTTGGTAGAGTCTTGAGATAAGTTGGGCAGGAGAAACTGAAGGGAGGAGAAAAGAGAACTGGCACTGATGAGGCCTGTTCTGTCCCTTTCTCTCTACTGGCTGCGGCTGCCTTGCCCAGACCTGTGTCTTCTTTCTCCTGGAAGCTGGCAAAGCTTTCCAGCTGGCCTCTTGCCTCTGTGCTTGCTGCCCTCCAGTCCCTTTTTCCATAATTTTCTGTCTTGGTTTCATAACTTCCTCTTCTTTTTTAATGGATCTGTTTTCTCCCTTTATTTTTTGGATGATTAAAACACAGATTGCTTTATTATTTCTATTTTCTTGAGTGTGGATTCTTTCGTTTGTTGGATTGTTGTCTTTTTTAACAATGGATTTGTTGGCAAGTCTGGTTTGCCTGTGTTAACAGCTCTGTGTGGGGTTCCCCCCCATCTCTACCCCTACCTGTGTGGTGGTTTTGAAGTTGCCTTGACTTGGCCCTTTAGGGTCTTACTTTAGGGCTTATGAAATGAAATTTGAATGGTTCCTTTTCCACCATGGGAGTTGAATCTCTGGCTCTACTGCCTTCTGCAAATGCCTCCCATTCCAACCCCCTTCTCATGGTTTCTGTCTCTGTTTCTGATCTTTGGATACTTTTATCTTGATTTTGAGTCTTGTAGCACATCATAAAATATTTTTTGTTATGTATTTTTTGCTATCATATATATATGATTAGACCAGAGTGGGAGGAGCTCCTGTGTGTACTCATACCACCATCTTGACAGGAAATCTCTGTTCAATTCTTTACACAACAGCCAGAGTCACTGAAGGTCATTTGTGACCAGGACACATCATCGCAGGGCCTTTCAGTGGCTCTCCTTTCCTTAACGTGGTATGCAAGACTCTTCATTTCTCCCCTGTGTAGCTTTCCAGCCTCAACTCCTTATTCTCCACGCACAAATAATTGACTCTGTTCATATTATTCTCCATGCATAAACTGTTCCATTCCCCCTGTCCTTGGCTAGCCTCTCATTAACTTTGGAGGCCTCTTCTGACATTCTCCCTGCCACCCCTAGTCTGGACACTCTGGGGTGGTTGCTCTGTTGCCTTCCTAAACTTCCACAGTGCCTATGTTTCCCTTTTTACCTGTGGAGTAGCGATTTGTTTACATATCTGTCTCATAACACTGGGCTAAGTCCTTGTGGGCAGTTTTGTATCCCTGGTGCCCACAGGGAGTCGTCTTGAACTACTCCACGCCGGGCACCATACCAAGTGTTTTACCTGCTGGCTTTGTTTTGGTTCCCTGGAAAGCAGAACCTGAGATCCGGACCTGGGTACAAGTGATTTATTTGAGGTGTGACACCAGGGAGCAGGAATGAGGGCTCCAGGAGAGTAAGATATGAGTGAAAACAAAGCCAGTAAGGGCACTCTTGATCTGGCTACTGCTGTGGGCAGCTGGGCCTCAGGCTGGGCACCCTCTGAAGGACTGCACAGAATGTGCCTCCGTTGTCCCTCTGAAAGATGGGAGACTTGGACGTTTGCCCAACAGCTCTCTTTCCCCAGTGGTTGAGGTTTCCCCAGAGGTATAAACTGTTCTACACTTGCACAGTTCCTTGCTGACCAACTCAGAGAGCTTTGGAAAAAGCCCCATAGCAGCAGAGATGTAAAAGGTGCTTGAGGTGGGACTGTGTGTGTCTACGGTAAGTGTCTACACAGCTGCAGCTGAAATCAGAGGTGGGCCAAAGACAGGTGGCAAGGGACATGAAAAGAATCTGCTCCCCATATACTGTCTTGTTTAATCCTTGTAATTATCCTGTGGAAGAAGATTTGTCTTCCTTCCAAAGAATTGTAGAGTTAGAATTTGAAGCCATTTTTATCTGCCTTCATAGCCAGTGTGCTTTCTACTATGCCTGTAGACAAGCACCCCTTCATTAACGTCTATTTATTGAGCACCCATTGTGCACCAAGATGGATCAGGTCATTGATGGACCAGCGAGGTTAACCAGATTCATCCAAAGCCATGCTTGTCTCTGGATGTAGGAATGGGGCCAGGACCCTGGGGTGGGGAGACCCTATAATTGTCATGGACACCTGTGATCCTATTTGCTCCTACCTCGGTCTAGCCTGCATTCACATATCCTTGTGGCCCACTCACTTGCTGTGTACCATGTGTCAAGTTAATTCTACTCTTCTATCCATGAAATAGATGTGGTAGCACCTACCTTGTTTGGTTATTGAGAGGTTACATGGGATAAAAAACTTTGCTTGGTTCCTGGCACATTGTGGGTACTCACTGTGTAGTGAAGACAGAATCTGCGCAAGAGTAGGTAGGGATAACTTGGGAAACTGGGTAGGGGACAAGGCTGTAACAGAAAGCTTAGTTCTCCCACTTCCTTCCCTTTTGGAAAAATAGGCCAGACCTTCTGAAAGGGCTACATGAACTGCTCTTGGAACGGATATGCTTGACTGAGCAGGAAGTTTCAGGAGAACACCTTGATGGTAAAACTGAGAAGACACTTAAGCCAGTGCCCATTCAGCTAAGAGGTGAGCTTGGAAATATCATCCAAGCCAACTCATTTTCCAAGCCATGTGATGAACCAAAGTCATCTTGGGCAGCCCAGCTAGCAAAGGCGGATGAAGTGTCTAAGGTGGAGCTGAAAGATGCCTCAGTGCAGACTGTGGCCATGGAGGGTGACCTGCTCAGGTTCACACGTGAAGAAAAGAGAGAGGCTTGGGAAGAGAAACCAGCGAACTCCATATTCAGTGCTGAGCATCAGCCAGAGAACTTGTGCAGGATGCCAGGGCAGCAGGACATTTCCCTTTCCTTCCCCAGCAGGACCAACAAGGTAAGTTTTTCCATATGTTAATTATGTGTTTATTTTATAGAAAGAGAAAACTTTAACAATGACCTCCAGTTTCACCACTTTTTTCCATTTATGTGAAGAGAAAGTCTGGTGTTGCCCTCTGCCTGCATTTCCCTGGCCTGCACCTAGAGGTGTGGGTCCTTCTTACCTTCCCTCCCTCCCTCCCTCTCTCCTTCCTCTCACTGCCATCCCTCTACCTCTTCTTCCCCATCCCAGCCCTGTCTCATTTATCTGCATATCATGACATTTATGTGTTCTCCTTAGAAAAAACAGACATGGAGTCATGCTTATATATCTGTAGCTTTCTCTTTCACGTTATGAGGAATATTCTGCATGAGATTCCATTGTGTGGCTGTGCCAAAATTTATACAATTTTCACCTATTGATGGGCATTTCGCTTTTTCAAGTTGTGGTAAAATTGTGATAACCTGACATTAGGGTTAGGAATGAGAACCTACGTTTTGTTTTGTGCAGACTTTGTGTGGGAGAAGTACTATTCTGAGGGCTTTGTGTATGTTCTCTTACTCTTACAACACTTGTCAAGGATGAGGAAGCCAGATCCCGTGTGCCCATGGTTAGCCAGTGGTGAAGGGACTGAGCTGGGTCTCACACTGGGCCTAACTGTACAGCCCCACCCTTTCCCTGGGTCAAGCTACTTTCCAGCCATGGTGGCCTGAAATGTGCAGTCCAGCTTTGTTGGGTGAATATCCATGTGTTGATTTTCCTTCAGTGTGGGAATTATCTCTAAGCTTCTCCAGCCATACCATCAAATGTGCCATATCGTTAAAAGTCAGACTCTTTGGCAATGTTTGATTGGATTTTGCTAAAATCTTCTTAGGGGCAGGAGTTGGGGTTGAGAATCCCTATAGCAAGGAGATATGTTCTGATAGAGAAGAAAGTAGGTCATGGAGGAAATAGAGCTCCATTGCAGGCTGTTGATCATATTGTTTCTGATGGGTGTTTTGTATCTGAGAAATCAACTATACACACTGCTTCACAGCATTAGAATGGAGAGTTAAGTTTATTTTCTGACCACTAAATTATTGCTTGTGTGCATACCAAAGAGAGTTAGATATATCATTAGCAAAATTGCTTTTGATTGTTTTAAATTATGCACCAAAACTGTAATTTCTAGAAAAGGGTTTTCTAAAGATATCAATAGAGACAAAAAAAAAAAAAGACACTGCCATTATATTAATGGTACTCAAAATGCAAATTTGTGCAATTTGGCTGGAATAGAAATGCTCTCATCTGACCCAGCTCCTTCAGTTTGTACCTGTATATTAAGAAATCTAGTTTTTTAAAAATTTGTTTTGTTTTGTTGTTTGTTTGCTTTTTTGTTTGTTTCGTTTTGTGGGAGATGTCATCCTATATTCAGGAAAATTCAGTAATTGAATGGACTTAATTTCCCCAAATATAATTAAAAATTGTTTTTTAGTTTGAAATTATTTTTCTTGCTTGGGTCTTCAAAAGGAAGGAAACTGTTTATTTATTATTATTTTTAGCATCTCCTATATGTGCCAGGAATTGTGCTAGATACTCTCTGTATATATCATCTCATTTAATCTTCTTAACAAGCATACAAGTTTGGTAGGTATTACCTGCATTTTACATATGAAGAAATAAGGCTCCAAAAGGCTCAAAAAATTGTCCAGAGTGACTCAGCTGGTAAGTGGACTGATAGGGATATAAACCAAGGTCTGGTTCTAGAGTCGTACAGAGATACACTTGCTTTTCTGAGGGAGGAAGGAGCTCTGATCAGCAAAGGCTCAAAAAATTGTCCAGAGTGACTCAGCTGGTAAGTGGACTGATAGGGATATAAACCAAAGTCTGGTTCTAGAGTCGTACAGAGATACACTTGCTTTTCTGAGGGAGGAAGGAGCTCTGATCAGCAACGTGGCATCCAGTCTATGTAGAGTAGAAGAAATTCTAATGATTTTCTTTGTGGTCTTCAGTAATCAAGGAATTGATAATCCTATGGCTTAAACCAGAACTCTGGTATCCTGTTAAAAGGAACATCACTGCAACCTGGGAGTGAGACAAGGAGACAGATATACTTCCAGTTGTTTAGTTACAGAGGCAAGAGGATGGACTTTACAGATATACCTGGGTTTACATCAGGCCCGGCCACTTACCTGCTTTGAGTCCTTGGGTAGTAAGTCACCTGCCCTTTCTGAGTGGCCTTGAATGGATTCACTGTGACCCAGAACCTGAGGCTGGCCTGGTGGCTGAATGGGGTAATGTGTGGCAAGTGCCTAGTGCAGGACCTTGTACATGGTGGGAGCTCAGAGTGTGTGAGTTCCTGTCCCCCTTCTATTTGCAAGTGAGAACTTCTAGCATGACATCTTGAATAAGGTGGTAGGTGGGACGCTGTTCAGAGTCCAGAAGGTAGCATTTTGTGTGGTGTTATTTTAGAACCAGCATTAGGGTGACTGACGGCAGTCTTCCAGCTTGAAATTGGCTTTGGCATTTGTGCACTTGCAGATATCTTTTCTGCTGCCATATGACACACAGATCTGGATCCAAGAATAAAGATTGGTGGAGACTGAGGACCCAGCAAATGACTGTTATTTTCCAGCCTTCTTTGATGAGGCATCCACTTCCTCCCAAGTGGTCCCCTTCACCACCTCAAACAGTTCTTGTCCCTGAACCTGCTGTCTGATCTTCCCTGGAATTTCAGGACAGAAGGTAACTGACCTTTCTTAACTGAGCACTGGTGTCCGAAGAGCTAGTTTGAGGTCTGATTCTTGAACTTTCTTGCTGTGTGACATTGGACTAGTTAGTTGTTTGACATCTCAGTTCTTCATCTGGAAAATAGGCATGATAGCTTACTTCTATTATCCCGTGAACTTTGGGAATGCAGAGTTTACCTGAACATTATGGGAGAATGTGCTGGAAAGCGTTTTACATCCTAAAATAGTCAAGAAGGGGCCTTTCCTCTTCTTTTCTTCTTGAGAGACCTTGGTGATCTCTCCACTCCTTGGGTCCCAAATATTTCTTGTTTTCCTCTCAGGTTCCTTCTTTGCTATTAAAAAAATTTTCATAACAGCCTTATTGAGATATAATTCATATATCATACAATTCATCTGTTTAAAGCGTACAACACAGTGGCTTTTTAGTATATTCACAGTCATGCAACCATTACCACAATCAGTTTTAGATCATTTTTATCACTCCAAAAAGAAACCCTGTACTCATAGCAGTCACTTCCCCTTTCCCTCCAGCTGCCCACCCCCAGCCCAAGGCAACACTAATCTACTTATTGTCTCTTTAGATTTGCCCATTCTGGATATTTTATGTAAATGGAATCATATAATATGTGGTCTTTGGTGACTGGCTTCTCCACTTAAGTGTAATGTTTTCAAGGTTCACTCATGTTGTAGCATGTATCAGTACTTTATTTGGATTTCCTGGCAGTATTGTATTATATGGATATGCTGTATTTTATTTGTCTGTTCATTAGTTGATGCACATTTGAGCTGTTTTCCCTTTTTGGTTATTAGGAACAATGTTGCTATACATGTGCAAATTTTTGTACAGAAATGTTTTCATTTCTCTTGGAAGTAGAATTCCTAGGAGTAGAATTGATGTGTTGTATCCTGTGGTAACTCTGTGTTTAACCTTTTTGAGGAACTGCCAGACTGTTTTCTAAAGGATCTGCAACCATTTTACATTCCCACCAGCAACGTAGAGTGTTCCAATTACTTTACATCCTTACCAGTGCTCATTGTGGTTTTTTGATTTTAGCCATCCTAATGGGTACGAAGTGGTAGTATTTTACTGTGATTTCATTTACATTTCCCTGATGACTAGTGATGTTAAACATCTTTTCATCTGTTCATTGGCCATATGTATATCTCCTTTGGAGAAATGTCTATCAGATCTTTTGCATATCTGCTAATTGGATTATTTATGTTTTTATTATTGAGTTTTTAATATATTCCAGATTCAAGTCCCTCTCCTCAGTTTTTGAATATGTTTAAAATTCCCCACTTGCAAGACACCCCTATTTGGTCTCACAAGCTATGGTTTGTATGTTCATTCCACATATAGTTGTTGAGCGTCTACTAGGTACTAGTTCTTGTGCTGTAAGCTGTGGATAGAGCATGACCAAGATATGCAGAACCCCTGAGCCCCAGAGCTTACATGCTGGTGCAGAAGATAGACAATGAACAAGTGATTTCACAGGCATTTAATTATAATGATAGTAACATTCTCTGAGGAGAATAGTAGGGGTGGTGAGTGTATAACAGGGATAACTGACCTGGTCTTGGAAATCAAGGCTTGTTCTCCTGAGGGAAGGCACATTTGAGCTGAGTCCTAATGAATTATTTGGAGACAGTGAAGGAAGAGGGGGTGGGCAGAAATGAGTGTTCTAAGAGAGGAGTTGGCATAGGCCAAGGCCCTGAGATAGAAAGAACATGGCATTTTAAGGAAGCCATAGAAGGTCAGTGTGGCTAGAGGTGGGGTGACCTGGGAGGGGGCAGTGACTCAGGCTGTGGGTCATGAAGGACCTTGTGGCTGTAGTATGGACATTGACCTTTGTCATCAGAGAACTGGGAAGCAATTAAAGTAGTTTTTTAAGCAGAGGACAGGAATCGTAGGTTTGCCTTTTTGCTGCCGCATGAAGAGTGGGTTAGGGAGGGTGAAAGTGGATGTGTGGAGACCACTCAGGAGGCTGTTGCTGTGGCCCAGGTGAGAGCTAACAGCAGCTTGGAGTTGGGTGGTGGCAGTGGAGGGTGAGAAGAGTTGAAAGAATTGGGGGACACCTTGAAAGTTGGGATTAATGGAATCTGATGGGTGATGAAAGTGGGTGGTAAGAATAAAAGGAACTTTAAAAATGACTCCCTGGTTTCTGGATCATGCAGTAAGTGGATGATTATGTGATTCACCAAAACAGAGATTGTTGAAGTGGTATAGATTTGTGGGTGGGGACATGGGATAATGAAATTGAAGTGTGAGTTTTCATTTGACTTTGGAATGCCTGTGAACCAAAGGAAGATGTCTGGGATAGGCAGGTTGGGAACTCTGAGCCTGGGAAATATCTACTGAGTTAGGGACCCAGTAGCCTCTGAAGTAAAGGGTGGTTCTGGGGGACTAGCAGGGGTGGGAGGAGGCAGGTCAGTTTAGACTGAGGAATGGGTGGGAAATGAGGAAATAGATAAGGAACAAAAAAGTTTCCCAGAAGATTGTGTTGGAAGAAGAACTGCACTATATGAGCATGGGGCATCTGGATTGTCCAGAGAGACAGTGGGCTGGGGCCAAGAGGGCATTGAGAAGGAGAAGCTTGGCCCAGGACAATCAGAGGAGGGACCTGCTCAGATACGTAACTCTTTGGTTGGGGGATAAACATAGATGCCATTAAAGGAACCAGAAATCTGGGCAGCGAGCTCGAATCCTGTTTTATAAGGTGGGCATGAGAATGTTGACTGTGCATCCAAAGGAAGCATATTCATTGTTGTATATCCATGTGTTTTTAGGACATTAAAAAGTCCCGCTTGCCGATCCTAATAAAACCATCCCGGTCATTAGGAAGTATGTGTCACCTCCCTGTCACCCAGGAGGTGGTGGCCCAGCTGCAAGGCCAGATCTTGAAGCTGCAGGGAGAGCTGAAGGAGTTTAAAACTCATAATAAGCACCTTCACGAAAAGTTAATTCTGACTGAAGCAATGATGGAGGGGAAGGACATTAAAAAGTCCCGCTTGCCGATCCTAATAAAACCATCCCGGTCATTAGGAAGTATGTATCACCTCCCTGTCACCCAGGAGGTGGTAGCCCAGCTGCAAGGCCAGATCTTGAAGCTGCAGGGAGACCTGAAGGAGTTTAAAACTCATAATAAGCACCTTCACGAAAAGTTAATTCTGACTGAAGCAATGATGGAGGGGAAGCCAGTGCCCGACAAAATGCTACTGAATGGTAAGCACCAAGAAAAATGTATTCTGCATGAGCTAGACGAACGACCCAGTAGAACTGCTTGAAATGTCAACCTTGTTGTTTAGAATTGCAATAAGTTTGAGTATAAATTTTATGAATTGCAGTGATTAATCTTGACTCCTGACAAATGCGCAGCAGAGGGAACACAATAAAGAAAATGAATCTGTTGCTTTTATTTTATTCTAGAGTCTGGATGAAGGGGACTTGTAGTGCTCACAGGTCTTGTGGGGGTCCCTGCTGCCTTCAGTTGGTATTGTCTGCAGGTGGACCACTTGTGGAATGACTTGAATCTGGGATTTTTTGCCTGGCTTGGTCTTTGGAAGCCTCAGGCATGTGGCATCAGAGGTATGCGAGCGAGAGTCCTCTTTGCAGAGTTCTTCCCCACCCACTTTGAATNTGTTTTCATTTCTCTTGGAAGTAGAATTCCTAGGAGTAGAATTGATGTGTCGTGTCGTGTGGTAACTCTGTGTTTAACCTTTTTGAGGAACTGCCAGACTGTTTTCTAAAGGATCTGCAACCATTTTACATTCCCACCAGCAACGTAGAGTGTTCCAATTACTTTACATCCTTACCAGTGCTCATTGTGGTTTTTTGATTTTAGCCATCCTAATGGGTACGAAGTGGTAGTATTTTACTGTGATTTCATTTACATTTCCCTGATGACTAGTGATGTTAAACATCTTTTCATCTGTTCATTGGCCATATGTATATCTCCTTTGGAGAAATGTCTATCAGATCTTTTGCATATCTGCTAATTGGATTATTTATGTTTTTATTATTGAGTTTTTAATATATTCCAGATTCAAGTCCCTCTCCTCAGTTTTTGAATATGTTTAAAATTCCCCACTTGCAAGACACCCCTATTTGGTCTCACAAGCTATGGTTTGTATGTTCATTCCACATATAGTTGTTGAGCGTCTACTAGGTACTAGTTCTTGTGCTGTAAGCTGTGGATAGAGCATGACCAAGATATGCAGAACCCCTGAGCCCCAGAGCTTACATGCTGGTGCAGAAGATAGACAATGAACAAGTGATTTCACAGGCATTTAATTATAATGATAGTAACATTCTCTGAGGAGAATAGTAGGGGTGGTGAGTGTATAACAGGGATAACTGACCTGGTCTTGGAAATCAAGGCTTGTTCTCCTGAGGGAAGGCACATTTGAGCTGAGTCCTAATGAATTATTTGGAGACAGTGAAGGAAGAGGGGGTGGGCAGAAATGAGTGTTCTAAGAGAGGAGTTGGCATAGGCCAAGGCCCTGAGATAGAAAGAACATGGCATTTTAAGGAAGCCATAGAAGGTCAGTGTGGCTAGAGGTGGGGTGACCTGGGAGGGGGCAGTGACTCAGGCTGTGGGTCATGAAGGACCTTGTGGCTGTAGTATGGACATTGACCTTTGTCATCAGAGAACTGGGAAGCAATTAAAGTAGTTTTTTAAGCAGAGGACAGGAATCGTAGGTTTGCCTTTTTGCTGCCGCATGAAGAGTGGGTTAGGGAGGGTGAAAGTGGATGTGTGGAGACCACTCAGGAGGCTGTTGCTGTGGCCCAGGTGAGAGCTAACAGCAGCTTGGAGTTGGGTGGTGGCAGTGGAGGGTGAGAAGAGTTGAAAGAATTGGGGGACACCTTGAAAGTTGGGATTAATGGAATCTGATGGGTGATGAAAGTGGGTGGTAAGAATAAAAGGAACTTTAAAAATGACTCCCTGGTTTCTGGATCATGCAGTAAGTGGATGATTATGTGATTCACCAAAACAGAGATTGTTGAAGTGGTATAGATTTGTGGGTGGGGACATGGGATAATGAAATTGAAGTGTGAGTTTTCATTTGACTTTGGAATGCCTGTGAACCAAAGGAAGATGTCTGGGATAGGCAGGTTGGGAACTCTGAGCCTGGGAAATATCTACTGAGTTAGGGACCCAGTAGCCTCTGAAGTAAAGGGTGGTTCTGGGGGACTAGCAGGGGTGGGAGGAGGCAGGTCAGTTTAGACTGAGGAATGGGTGGGAAATGAGGAAATAGATAAGGAACAAAAAAGTTTCCCAGAAGATTGTGTTGGAAGAAGAACTGCACTATATGAGCATGGGGCATCTGGATTGTCCAGAGAGACAGTGGGCTGGGGCCAAGAGGGCATTGAGAAGGAGAAGCTTGGCCCAGGACAATCAGAGGAGGGACCTGCTCAGATACGTAACTCTTTGGTTGGGGGATAAACATAGATGCCATTAAAGGAACCAGAAATCTGGGCAGCGAGCTCGAATCCTGTTTTATAAGGTGGGCATGAGAATGTTGACTGTGCATCCAAAGGAAGCATATTCATTGTTGTATATCCATGTGTTTTTAGGACATTAAAAAGTCCCGCTTGCCGATCCTAATAAAACCATCCCGGTCATTAGGAAGTATGTATCACCTCCCTGTCACCCAGGAGGTGGTAGCCCAGCTGCAAGGCCAGATCTTGAAGCTGCAGGGAGACCTGAAGGAGTTTAAAACTCATAATAAGCACCTTCACGAAAAGTTAATTCTGACTGAAGCAATGATGGAGGGGAGGCCAGTGCCCGACAAAATGCTACTGAATGGTAAGCACCAAGAAAAATGTATTCTGCATGAGCTAGACGAACGACCCAGTAGAACTGCTTGAAATGTCAACCTTGTTGTTTAGAATTGCAATAAGTTTGAGTATAAATTTTATGAATTGCAGTGATTAATCTTGACTCCTGACAAATGCGCAGCAGAGGGAACACAATAAAGAAAATGAATCTGTTGCTTTTATTTTATTCTAGAGTCTGGATGAAGGGGACTTGTAGTGCTCACAGGTCTTGTGGGGGTCCCTGCTGCCTTCAGTTGGTATTGTCTGCAGGTGGACCACTTGTGGAATGACTTGAATCTGGGATTTTTTGCCTGGCTTGGTCTTTGGAAGCCTCAGGCATGTGGCATCAGAGGTATGCGAGCGAGAGTCCTCTTTGCAGAGTTCTTCCCCACCCACTTTGAATCTGCTGCCTCTGCTCTTTTGGAGGCCAAGAAAATAGAGAGCCCTTGGGTTAAATTGTATCTAAATAGTCAGAACCCAGGAGACCTGGAGGAAGCACCTTGGGTGGTGTCTTCTAGTCTAGGACAGTGGTGTTTAGAGATTTTGGACCACCAGTCTTTTGAGAATCTGAAGAAAATCGAGGACCTTTTCACAGAATAATGCAGATAAGCACGTAAGTAGCATTTTACAGCATTTTCTGAGGGTTCATGAATCCACAGAAGAACATACGTTGACTCCTGATTTTGAACTCCTGCTATAAGCAAATGGCAGCAACACAATAACAAGAACAAAAACAGTAATCTTTGGTTTATTCAAAAAATATTTATTGACTTCTTCTCTGTGCCAAGCACTATTTTAGGCACTGGAGAGAGAGGATTGAACAAAACAACTGAAGTCTGTATCTAGCTAACATTCTTGTGTGTGTGTATTCAAAAAATATTTATTGACTTCTTCTCTGTGCCAAGCACTATTTTAGGCACTGGAGAGATAGGATTGAACAAAACAACTGAAGTCTGTATCTAGCTAACATTCTTGTGTGTGTATGTGTGTGAAGACAGTAAGCTGATAAGAGTATATATAATGTGTGAGAAAATATGTGCTGTAGAGAAAAATAAAGCCAGGTTAAGGACATGGGGAACAAGGAATGGGGGTAGCATTTGCTAATGTACGTGAGCGGTAGAGCTTCTGTGATGAGGTGGCGTTCGAAAGGAAACCGGGAGGAATTGAGTGCACTAGTCATCTTGGGAAGAAGGGACAAAGGCCAAGGCCTTGGTGTTGCTTTGAACTTGGGAAATTGGTTGAATAGGAAGGAGGCCAATTATGTGGCTGGAGTGCAATGAGAAAGAGGGAGAGTTAGAAGGTAAGGTCAGGCAGGGAGGTAGCAGGTCAGATAGGCTCTCACAGGCCATTCTAGGACTTTCTTTTATTCTAGGTGAGATTGGAAATTGTTGGAGGGTTTTGAACAGTGGAGCGACATGATCTGACTTAAGCCTTAAAGCAGGAATAGACAAACTACAGCCTGTGGGTCAAATGTAGCTTGCTGGCCTGTTTCTGTAAATAAAGTTTTATTGGAACATAGCCACACACATTCATTTGCAGAATGTCTGACTGCTTTTGCACTATGAGGGCAGAGTTGAGTAGTTATGATAGAGACCTTATGGCCTGAAAAACCTAAAAGATTTATTATTTGGCTCTTTAAGAAAAGTAGGTTGACCTCTGCTTTAGAGGGTCACTTTTGATGTCAGCCATTGGAAATACAGAGTTATCGAAATACAGCAAGATGGGAAAGACTGCAGGAGAAGAAAACTTAGGGTGGAACATTAGGTGTCTGATTTTGGACTTATTTGAGATGCCTGTTGACCATCCTGATGGAAGTGTTGGGTAGGGAGTTGGAGACAGATGAGGCTGGAGTCAAGGGGAGAGGTCTGGGCTAGAGTTATAAACTTAGGAAATAGTAACATATTGCTGATATTTCAGGCTATGTGACTTGGTGCCATAGGGAGCAGGTCCAGGAATTGAGACTGGGACTCTCCACTGGTTAGAGATTGGACTGAGAGGGAGCAGCCAATGAGATGGGAGGGGAGTCAAGAGAGGATGACAGCCCAGAAGCTGAGTAAAGAATGGATTAGTTGTGTCAGATATTGCTAGTAAGACAGGTAAGATAAGGACTGAGGATTGGCCTTGGGATTTAGCAATGTGGAAGTCATTGGTGGCCTTGAAGAGAGCTGTTTCCATGGAGTGGACAGGGCCTGATTGGCATAGGTTCCAGAAAATGAATCGAGGAGAGAAACTGGAGACAGCAAGAACTGACAACTCTGAGGAATTGTACCTTAATGAGGATCTAGAGAAGCAGGGCAGTTAGGAGCCAAATCATCAATGAATCTCAAGGGATTCAGTCAGTAGGGACCATGGACGACTGCGGTAAGGTGGGGTAGTCAGTGGTATAGTCTGGAGTTTTCAGGGAAGAGAGCATGATCTGGAAGTGGCAGTGAGGAGCCAAGGCACTTACACACTTCTGGGCCCATGATACAAGGGACGTGGGGAAGAAACAGCCAGTGCTGTGAAGCCTGAAGGAGAAGCAGCGTCCTCTGTGGACAGCCCAGGTCATGTAGAAAGAGGGGGCAAGATGAATGTTTAGGGGAGACGGGTGTTCTTTGGGATTTGTGAATGAAGGGTCCGAGTACTGGAGTGGGAGATTGCATCATACTAGGGGATTTTCAGAGTGGTTCAGGGATTGGGGATGATTCTGGAGCCTCACACTTCCCACGGTATTAATAAAACAAGCACCTGTTACTTACTGAGCCCTACTATATATGCTTTAAATACATGAACTAATTGAGTCTTCTCAACAGTCCTTTGAGGTAGGTACAGTAATTATCCCCGTTTTACAGTTGAGGCAGCAGTTTCAGAGATAAAGTGACTTGGCTACAGTCATACTGTTACGAACTTCCCAAGATAGATGTGAACCAGTCTGCCTGATTTCAAAGCCTGCTTTCCTTACTGTTTCATAAAGCCTAGTATATGATACATCTTGTGTGGATTTTATAATGATCTCTAGCCAGAGGTATCTTCCACTTAATTTTAGGTTCCCTCTTGGATTTACCATAGTTGAGGTTTCAAGATAAGCTGGCCTTTGGCAGAATTGCTCATTCCTCCCTCCCTCCTTTCCACCTTCTTTTAATCCACCCACCCATCCATCCATCCATCCATCCATCCATCCATCCATCCATCCATCCATCCATCCATCCATCCATCCATCCATCCATCCATCCATCCATCCATCCATCCATCCATCCATCCATCCATCCATCCATCCATCCATCCATCCATCCATCCATCCATCCATCCATCCATCCATCCATCCATCCATCCATCCATCCATCCATCCATCCATCCATCCATCCATCCATCCATCCATCCATCCATCCATCCATCCATCCATCCATCCATCCATCCATCCATCCATCCATCCATCCATCCATCCATCCATCCATCCATCCATCCATCCATCCATCCATCCATCCATCCATCCATCCATCCATCCATCCATCCATCCATCCATCCATCCATCCATCCATCCATCCATCCATCCATCCATCCATCCATCTATTTATGCATTCAGTGAACATTCCCCTAGTACCTGCTGAGTCCCATCCTCATGCACTGGGTGTGGGAGAGAGAGGAGAGAGATGAATCAGATACAGTCTCTGCCTTCTGAGAGCTCCCTGTCCAGTGAGAGATTAGGGGGTGGCAGGTAGTTAAGTCAGTGCAGGGGTGTGGGGGTCTTTGGAGGAAGGATTTTATGTCAAAGGTGACTCAGCCCAACAGAGGCCCTGGCAATTTGCCCAGGGCTTGCCATTTTTCACTCAACACTTTTTATTTCTTGCTTAGATGCTAGGGTGCCTTAGCCGGGAGCTACTCCTGCAGTTGTCCAGGAGATCCTGGAGCTTCTCTCTTCTTGGGAAAAGTGGGCATGAGTTGATAGAATTCATTTTCTCACTCATAGTATTTTGAGAGCCTGGACTTAAAACATTTCAGACAAGCTGAAGTATATTTATGCTTTTTATGTCCTGTTATGGCAGCTCGATAGATTAATTTTATCTTATAAATTGCATTTTGCTTCCCCAGTGTTTTTATTTCCCTATTGTATCTTTGTGTTCTTCTCAGATGCTTGGCTGAGTTTCAAGTCTATGGTTTTATTTATTTTAATTTCTCTTTGCAAATGCCTGTAGCTCAGCCTCTTGTGGGAGCAACCTACCAGGACAGCCCAGGAGACGAAAAAGGAATTAAAACCACACCCTCTGTCTGGAGAGACAAGGAAATGGACAGTGATCAGCAAACAATCTACGAGAATGGTCAGAATCCAACCCCTACAGGTATTGAACATCTACCATGTGTCAGGCACCATTTGGGATGTTTTATGTAAAACTTATCACTAAGCCTGCAATAGCTCTCAGGGCATCATTATCATTCTCATCTAACACATGGGGAAGCTGATGTTTTAAAAATAATTGACCCCTAAGCCTGCAATAGCTCTCAGGGCATCATTATCATTCTCATCTAACACATGGGGAAGCTGACGTTTTAAAAATAATTGACCCTGGAGGGTTGCGATCCGTTGCCGGACACGAAAAAAGACAAAAAGGAGAAAAAAAAAAAAAATAATTGACCCTGGGCTACCCAGCTGGCAAATAGGTGGGAGAATCGCGGTACAGTAGGATGTGTCGGAGCTTACCAGTCCATTGGTCAGACACTTTGTCCGAGGCAGTGGGCTGGGCACTGGGGGGTCAGCACAAGAAGACACAATGCCTGCTCTCAAGGGACCTCGCAGATGGGAGGAGATAGTCATTCCATAGTCCCTCTGTATGCAGCTAGTCATCCCACAGTTCCTCTGTATGCATCCTGGGGCTGGCTGTTGTTGAGGCGTGCATAAAGGTGGCCTCCATATGCTGGGAGGAGTGAGGCAGAGGAGAGCCTGCAGCTGAGACTGGTGTGTGGGGTTTGCCAGGTAGGTCAGTGGGAAAGGGAGGCCACAGGCAAACTGTATTTCTTTTTTGAATGATGAAGTATTGTAAGCATACAGATAAGCACAAAGCATAAGGTAACAAATAACACATGCTCTTATTCAACCAGAATGAGCAAATGCTTACATTTTTTCTTTTTACCTTAGATCTTTTTTCCTCTTTGTTTAAAAAAAAATTAATCACTATTATTGGATCTCATTCACTCTGTAAGAAATAATTGTCCTCAGAAATCCCAAATTTGTCAAGAAATAGCCATGAGAATGCCAGTTCTAGGGAAATACCTGGCTGTGGGCCCTTTAGTGGTGTGTCCTTTCCCAGGCCTGAAGTCAGTGCCGTGAATATGTGGTCACATGCTTCTGAGTGTTCTGGGCTTTGAGAAGAAAACTACTCTACTGGGCAATAAAGTACCCCTTAGCTGAATTGTGAGAAGTTCTAGAACCTACAGTATTTCTTATAGTACAAAAAATTGATGCTGGGGACATCTTTTGATTTCTTGTTCATGGTGATCAATAAAGACTTCTCAACTGATTGACAGTTTCCCTTTCCCTCTCAGTATCTCTTCATCACTGAACTTCTTTCATTTTTCTGAATGTGCTTCCAGGACTTCGCATGTGCTGTTGCATCTGCCTGAACTTCCTCCCTTCGATTGTTGCTTAGCTGATGCTTCATCCTTCCAATGCCTGCCTAGATCTCAGGGATCGTGAGAGCATGTCCTGAGTCCCCAGTTATTTGGGCACTCACATCAGCCCCCCTGCTTACCCTTCCCCAGTACCAACTAGTGTTGAATCCACCTGCTCAGTGACTGCCCTCCGCAGGCTGGGTCCTGTGTGCAACATCTTCACTGCTGTCTGTTCTTCAGGAGCCCCTTGATAGATACTTGGGAACTGAATGAAGGGGATTTCATAGGTGTTTTGGCCTTCACATTGAGGGCTAAGAACTCTCTGTCTTTGCTTATACACCCCTGATACAGGAGGCCCAGCTGCAGGAGGGTTATGTCAGGAAGAAGCATTCAGAGTGTTAGAGGCAGGCTGCCAGGCTTGACGACGGGCTTTGCTGCTCACTCATCCTGAACCTTGGGCAAATTCTTAATCTCTCTAAGCCTCGACCTTCTTTTCTATAAAATGGAGATACTAGTGGTGCCTCACAGGGTTGTGGCAAATCAATAATATAGGTGAAGTGCTTGGTGCCTAGGCCAGGTCCTAGTGTATAATTATATGTCCTGAGGCCATGGTAAACCTGCAGTTTCACATGTACGCTACAGCTTATAATCCTCCCTTCCTCACACCCTCTATGCAATGACATTTAATTGAATGGAAGCAGCTCTTTCAGACCTTTATCAAGGGCTACTGAGCAGAGAATAGCAAAGCCACATCACCATGCTGGTGCTGGGCTATGAGACTTGCTGTCTACTGGCCTTGATGCCTAGATATCAAATCCTTACCTTTGCCAAATTACAAATTGCTGTAGATTGTGGACTTTTGGGAGCACTTCTGAAGTCAAAACTGTTAAGTGCAAAGTGTCTGAAGGTTATGGTTGTTGCATTGCTAGCAGCAAAATTTAAAGTGGAGGGCTGGAGAATGTGCACACCTTCTCAAGGGTTCTGAGGGGGTGTGTGTAGCTAAACATCAGAGCTGGCCACAGTTTATATCACAAAAGGACATTTGTATGGGACTTACATTTGTCTTTGCCTCATAGTTACTTAGTGAAAGTCATCACAACTAATCTTATTCCTCCAAGTAAACATTGCTTCCTACCATGAAATATGGACCACATTCCATTATCATGAGGTTGTTATAGCAAAGATATTTCCTTGTCTTGAAGGATGATTCACCGGACCAAAGTCTTGTTGAGAGATCTCTCTCCCTGGTGCTCTCTCTTTTATACTCGCTCAGCCAGAAGTACTTGCTGAAGTACTCTGTTGCAGGCTCTTTGCCAGACTCTGGAGAAACAGAGATGGATGACATGGTCTCCACCTTCAAGGACCTCACAGACTAGTGATTATAAAAAATTGTGGACGGGAAAAATGCAATATTAGGAATGCTTCCTTTAGGTTGTGTAGCAGCTGCTTTCTAAAACGAAAAGTTTTATTTTATGGTATTTGCATTACGAATAGAGACAAGAGTGGACCTAAAGTCACAAGGAGCAGATTGCAGAACAAGAAATTGGAGCGTGCAGTCTGACAGGGATTTCTGTGAGATTTTCTTTCTGAGAGCTCTTCTGGTTCATCCGGTCCAACCCACACTTGCTTATGCAGCATTTCCCCACGCAGGCCTTCGCTTGCATCCTCCAGTGGCGGACATCTCCTTCCAGCTTTGAATGCAAGGAGAAGCAAAAGAGTGTTCGTATTAGTTGGGTTTCTTTATTATTATATGCCAGACACTGTTAGCCTTTTTGTAGATATTGTTCCGTATAATTCTAAAAACAAAATGAGCAAGCATAACTCTTCATAGTGAATGATATTCTTTCCATTTTACAGAGGAAACTCCTGAGGCTCAGAAAGCTTAGGTAATCTGGCTAAGGCCATACAGCTAGTAAGTGGCAGAGCCAGAGTTTGAAACCAGGTCTGTTGAGTTTCAAAGATGGGTTTTTTTCTCCTACCTTCTGCTGCCTTTTAAGTAATCAAACAGCTCCGTATATTGAGCTGAGCTTTCCCTGGACAGCAGGCAGTGTGTTGTAGTGGCCAAGGACAGAACTCTGGAGTCAGGTGTGAGCTTGAAGCCTCACTACGACCATATTAGCCATCTCTATCGTCATTTTACATACAGGGAAACTGAGGCACTGGGATAGTAAATTACTTGCCTAAGCCTATGCTGCCAGCAGGTAGCAAAGGTGGGTGTGATCCTACTTGTCTTTGGCTTCAAAGTTTATATTCTTTCTGCTCTACCACTCCCCCTCTCAACAAAAGTTTGGCTTCATCTCTTGGGATTTAAGCTAGCTATAAGGAAATATTTCCTGGCAGGGTGTGAGTCAGCAAAACAGCTCACTAAAGGAGACATCATGGCATCTTAGAAACTGGTGGACATGGAAATGAAAAGAAAACTCTCACCTGCCTTGGGTGTTTAGAATTACTACTCTTTAACATTGCTTCACTGAGTCTGTCAATATTTCTCAGACTGCCACTGACTTCTGGTCTGGGCTAGGTACTGTACTAGGTGTAGAAATGTGAAGATGAAAGGCTACGTCCCTGCTATGAGGGAACTTGCAGTCTGGTGAGGGAGAGAAGCATCCAAATAACAAATGCTATGTAAATAAATAAGCCAGTCGTAATTCCTATATTAGTAGCCAGCATGTAGTATGTTTGTCTTGAGTAATATGTATAAAGTGCTGTGGAAGCACAGAGGGGAATGACTTTTGCATAGCTCGAGGAGGGCTTGCAGAAGAAGGAAAATTAGATCTGGGTGTAGAAGAATGAATAGGAGTTCGTTGAGTAGGAGTAGAATAGAGAGCTGAGGGTATTCCAGGCAGAGGGCACAGAACATGCAAAATCATGGAGGCATGAAACAGCATGGAATGTGCAAGGAATCGTGGTTGATTTAGTAGGGAATCTCTATAGGTGATACCAGGGGATATTCCTGGAAAGGTTTCTGGAGGATCTCAGTTTCCTGGAAAGGATTCTGGAGGGTCTCAGCTAGAGAGTGTTGATGAGTCTAAGGTATGTTGGGGGCGGTGCTTAAGCATAGGTAAATTCACTTTTTAGACCAGTTGCTCTGAGGAAGAGAATGGACTAAGAGGTAAAAGGGAAAGACTAGAGGCAGGGAGGCTTATTAGAAGGCTCATTCAGTGGTCTTGATTTGGCCATGGCTGTGAGGAAGGAGAGAGAGGGGTGATTTCAGCAAAGGACATACTGATATAAATGTATTTGATTTTCAGACTCTGAAATTTACTTGCCTGATGACCTTGCCATCTTGCCAACATGCGGAGAGAATCCTGAAGATATTCTGGGCCCAACTTCAGTGGGTACTTACTTGAGTTCTAAGAATCAACCTTCTCTTAAGGTCTGTGTGATTGGGACTGATCAGTCTGAGGACATCGATATGTCACATGACACAGATGACCTAAAACAGAAAATCCGTGGTTTGGAAACTGAGCTGGAGGGCTACCGGAATTTCATAGTTCAGCTTCAGAAGCACTCCCAGTGCAGTGAGGCCATTATCACAGTTTTGTGCGGGATGGAAGGGGCCCAGGACGGCTTGAACAAGCCCAAGGGCAGTACTGATGAAGAAGGAATGACCTTTTCAAGTTTGCACCAAGTACGATATGTGAAACACATGAAAATCCTCCATCCTCTAGCCCCAGAGATGATTGATGGCAGGATGCTAGAGAGCCCCAAGCAGCAGCTGGTGGACCAGGAATATGAGCTGCAGAAAGAGCAGAATTTGAACATGGAACTTTTCAGTGAAATCTATAACCTGCAGAATAAGTTCAGAGATATCTCACCCTCAAGGTACATTCTACCTCTGCCTTCGCCTTCTTTAAGCCTGCAGTTCCTGATGTTGCCACTAGGCGGGAGCCCATGAGCTGAAAGGGAGTGCTGCTCTGTGATGGGGAGGAGTATGTACTGGGGGAGGCTCGGTGGTGGGGTTCAGACAGCCAGGCCTCCTGGAGAAGTGAAACACGATGGGGACACGAGGAATAGTGCCCGCCCACGTGAACGTCAGGTACAAGTCTTGTGTCCTCTGTAGTTGGCATGGCAGATTTTGCCCTTCTCAGGTTGAGGGCTCAAGGTAAAGGTTTCATACCAGTTACTTGGTGAGTGGTAGTGCTTTTGCTGAACTGCAGTGTTTACTCTTGGACTCTTATTGGCTTTTGCAGTGATGTGGAACTAAAACTGATGTCCTAGGCAGGGTGGGAAGAATATAAATATTTTTCATATCTTTACCCTTTAAGGTCATCTTAGAGAAATAAGCCTGTGTTGAAAGAGGAGAATTCTTAGGTCATGGAGATAATGCTTTATGAGTATAGATAGATACAGTTTTGCTTCATGAGATATGGCAAAAAGGGGATCATTTGTAAAGTTGACCTTCATTTGTCACTAATTTGAGACAAGCACATCGTTCTGAATTGTCAGGAGCCAGAGTGAATTTTTCAAGACTTTCCAGGCAGTGAGATTGAACGGAGCTTGTATTTATTGAAGGGCTGTTGTGTCAGGCCCCTGGGTGGGCACTTTTCTTATTTAATCTTCAAAATCATCTGAGAAGGAGGTGTTCTTAAACATGCTTTTATAGATAAGGAAAGTGAGCCTTAAAGAGGATGCTGTGACTGGTCAGAGAATATTCACAGAGCTGGTCAGAGCTGTTGCCAGGGTTCAAGCCCACCTTACCCCCCTCCAATACTTGTGTTCTTTCTCTTCCCTTAAATCCACCCCCACCTCTCATACAGGCGTCACATGATCTGTATGTACATACTCAGCATCAAAGGTCATTGCTAGGCCCACATACTGTTGTCATTTCAGGGAAGGGAGAACATGTTGAATGGAAATGCCAGCATCTTTGCCAGGCTCCTCTCTGGAGCCAGGGTACTGTGGCCACAGTTTACTTTTATATGAGCAACATTTCGCTTAACTTGTGTTTTTCTCAGTGCCTACTAAATCTTGCAGTTTCACAGACAGGAAAAGATGGCACATGGTGGTCAGGGGGGAGTACTGCATAACAGAGCTTTGAAGCCAGAGTTGTGTTTGAATCCACCACTTAACTTTGCTATCAGTTTCCTCTTCTGTGGGGGGCATTCCTACACTTGTTGGAAGACTGGGAGAATCAGATAATTTCTATGAAAGACCTAATTCAGTTACTGACAGGTGGAGACCCTAAGTAAATGGTAGTTAGGGTCATGATTATCCCCTTACCTTTCAGTTAGGAGGAGAGGGGCTTACCTTTTTTTTTTCTCCCCTGTCTTACACTTTTTTTTGTACTTCATTAGAATTTTTGGTAGATCTCCCTGACCCTCAGGGCATATATTTCTGTAATTCAGAATAGTATTTTTGAAGAGTATATGGAAACTAATTGTTCTCCTGTGTCTTTGCCAATCCACTTTAATTGAGGGCTTTATAAGGTTAAAAATATTGTAGAAGAATCTTTGTTCCAGCATTTATTGGCTCTTTGAAATCGAAGGAGTGACCTTGTACAGTTTCAATTTTTCTAAAAGTATATGTACTTGTACAGCTGCAGGCTTTTAAAAATTGGGCTCTGTCATTTTTCCAATTAGTGTTAAGGTCACAAAAATTCAATTCTAAAATGGTATGAGCATTTTCTTTCCTCCCTTTTATCAGATACGATTCATTAGTTCAGTCCCAGGCCAGGGAGCTCTCCCTTCAACGGCAGCAGATTAAGGATAGCCATGACATCTGTGTCATTTATCGTCAACACATGAACACCATGATTAAGGCATTTGAGGAGCTGCTGCAGGCCAGTGATGTGGATTACTGTGTGGCGGAGGGTTTCCAGGAGCAGCTGAATCAATGTGCGGAACTGCTGGAGAAATTGGAAAAGCTGCTTCTCAACGGTAAGTGGGGTGAGGCACGTGAGTCCTAAGCCACCTCAGTAATTGATCCAGGACTTCTGGGAGGGGCACAGGAGGAACTGACTCCTTGGCCTTGTTTGTCTCCTGTCCCTCTGCCTTGATGAGGTGAGCTTAGATGCCTCCAGGGCTGGGCTGGTGAGGTATGGGAGTAAAGCCAGCCAGGAGGTGCTGCCTCTCAGCACTGGCCACATGGTTGCCAGTTCTTCCACATTTTCCAGAGAAGATGAAAATTGGGTATTTTTCATGAAAACTCATGAGTTTTAAATGTTGGCAACCAAAAAAGCCCAACCAGACAAGCAAAACTTTTTTCAGTTAAAACATATATCCAAGGGTAAGGGGTGGGAAGAAGGACAAAAGAAATCCTTTGCTAATAAACCTTTGCTGTGTGCTAGGTACTTCAGTAAATGTTAATACATTAAAATTTTTTTAAAATAGTTTTTGACACCACAATGAAGAACTCCCGTATACCTTCACCCAGCTTCATCAGTTGTTAGCATTTTGCCATGTTTGTTTTTTCTCTCTGTCTCTTTATACATACATGCACACTTATTTTCTTTCTGAACCCTATGAGAGTAGAGTGACAATATCATGTCACTTTCCCCAGATGCTTCAATGTGTAGTTCCTCAGACCAAGGACATTCTCTTATATAACCACAGTTCAGTTATCAAAATAAGAAATAGAATTATCTAGTATATTATTATCTAATATACATTTTATATTTAGTGTTTTATAATTGATTCAGTAATGTCTTTTATGACTATTTATTCCTGATTCTGACCCTGATCCTGGATCTAGTCCCCACATTACATGTAGTTGCTATGTCTCTTTGGTATCTTTTAATCTGGAGTAGTTCCTCACCCTTTGTCTTTCATGACATTAACATACTTGAGTTCAGCCTGGTCCCTTACTTGGGGATTATCTGTTGTTTCCTTAAATGACTAGATTCTATTGCTTAGGTTAGATAGTTACAGTTTTGGCAGGAATACCACATAGGTGACTTTTTGTCCTTATGGTGCCATGTTAAGGAGGCACATGATACCAGCTTGTCCCATTTTTGGTGGTAATAACTCTGATCACTTGGTTAAGGTGGTGTCTGTCAGAGTTCTCCACTGTAAATTATAATATTTCCCTGTGTGATAAGTAATTCGTGGGTGATACTTTGTAACTGTAAATATTCTGTTTCTCTTCAAACCTTTACCAGTGAATTATACCATACATCGATGGTTCTTGGCTGACTCAGATGTTACTGTGATGGTGGCAATATGGTGATTTTTTTCCTAACACCATCATTGCTTTGTCGTTTATTACTAGGTGGCATCTACTAGAAAGATGCATTCTCAATTCAACTTCTTTTATTTATGTATTTATTGTTTATTTGTTTACTATTCTATGGACTTATATATGCTTATTTTATTTAATGGGCTATTATCCATTCTGTCATTCATATTGTGCTAGATTTGGTAAGTGGCAGTTCTTTTTGACATATGTCCATCTTTTCAAGAGTACTTTTTCACTTTCTGGCACAAAAAAAAGATGTTCCACGTTCATCTTCTACTGTTCCTGCTCCTGTATTAGCCACTTCTCCAAGAAGCTTTAGTTCTTTTTATTGAGGAATGGTATTTAAAAACCAAGATTTGGTGCTGGGTGTGTTCATTGCTACTAAGGTGTCTTTGTTTCTAAGCCCTTTAGCAAGGCAGATTGGTATGGGTGTGTGTGTGTGTGTGTATAAATGTATAATTTATTTAAAACATCATTACTTCACAATGATACCTCCAGTTTCAGTCCAAACTGAGTTCTTTCTTGTCTTTCTCGCTTCTATATTTATATTTCCTTCTTCAACAGTAAGAACCCTGGCTTTCACAACATAAGCATATCTGCTGATTTGCTCAATTTGAAAATATATGCAAATAGTTCCAGAATTGCTCCACCCATACCACTCTGAAAAACAAATCTACTAGAAGAGTTCAAGATTTGTTTATAGTTATTTTTTGTTTTTTTTTCCTTTTTGTCTTTTGTAACGGGATCGCAACCCTCGGTGTTGCGCCCGCACCGCGCTCAGCCAGTGAGCGGGAACCGGTCTCCACATGGGATCCGAACCCTCGGCGGGAGCGCCGCCACGCTCCCAAGCGGCGCACTCTCCAGTGCGCCACCGGGCCGGCCCAAGTTATTTTTGTTTTTAGGCTAAGGGTTATAGTCAGGTATTGAGTTGAAAAGTTACTTGGTTTCATTCTTTCTACAGTGTTGTTATGTTATTCATTTGAAATATCATTAGATTAATTTGGTATTTAATTTTAGGTTTTTTTTACCCTATTGTTGTTTATCTAATTTCATTTTTGAATATTGAAAACATTAATATAGTTCCAAAGTTAAAACTTTTATCCTTTTAAATTGCCTCTAGAAGTCATTATTTTTGTTCCTCTCCTTTATTAGTATTTTTTAGTCCCCCTTTCTCTCTTAAACCCATTGGGATTGGGCTTTCAGTCATCCCAGCAGTCACTAACAGTGTCTACTTGGGCACATCAGTTCTCAGTCTTTTTTTGTGTGTGTTTTTTTGTGACCAGTAAGGGAATCGGAACCCTTGGCTTGGCGTCGTCTGCACCGCACTCAGCCAGTGAGTGCACTGGCCATCCCTATAGAGGATCCAAACCTGTGGCGGGAGCGCCGCTGCGCTTCCAGCGCCACACTCTCCCAAATGAGCCACGGGATCGGCCCCTCAGTCTTTATCTTACTCAGACTCCAGCAGTATTTGATGTGGTTGCTTCCTCCCTCCTTGGGGCAATCCTTTGCCCACTTGGCTCCTAAAAAGAACTCCTTTGCGAGTTCTGTTCTCCTTCCCCTCCCTGGCCCTTTGAAGCTCTACCTTCAGCATATCTTCTGTATCTTCATGACCTCATTGCTCCCACGGCTGCAGCTGCCACTGCTGTCTCACCCGGATTGTTGCAGTCCTCTGCTGCCTGGCCTCTGTGCTTCTCATCAGCCCATTGCAGTCTGTTTTCCGCATAGTAGTCAGAGTCATCTTTTAAAAACGTGAGTCAGATCATGTCCCTTCTGCTCAAAAATCAAAGGCTTTTCTTTTCACTCAGTGTACAAGTTCAGATAAGAGACCACAAAACCCTGTGCCATCACCTGACCATCTCTCTTACCTCATCTCCTACCACCCCAGCCTCCCTCCTTGGCCCTCCCCAGCTACACTGCCCTTAACAGTTTTCCATCACACCAGAGCAGCTCCTTTTTCAGGGCTTTTGTGCTTTCTCTTCTCTCTGGTGTCTCCCATCCCTTCAAGGCCTTCTCTCAAATGTCATATTATCAGAAAAGCCCTCTTTGACAACTCTGTTGAACAGCAAGGCTCCTCTGCCCCATTGCCGGCATTTCCCTTTTCCCTTTACCCTGCTTTATTTTCCTCTATTTTGCTTGTCAGCATCTCGCATATTACATACTGTAGTCCACCCTCATCCACAGGGGATATGTTCCAAGAACCCTGGTGGATGCCTGAAAATGAGGGTAGTACTGAACCTTATATACACTGGTTTTTCCTATACATATGTACCTATAGGTTAGGCACAATAAGAGATTAACAACGACGACTAATAATGAAATAGAACAAACAAAGCAATATACTGTTCACAATTTCACGGATGCAAGATACGTTCTTATCATAGCTCTTAGCAAACTCAGCATACAATTTAGTTTTCTTTCCTTGTGTCCAGAACCTTCACCGTTTTACTTAAAGGAAGCATTGTTGGCTTCTCTTTGGCATATCTGAATTGCCAGCATCACTACTCTTGCACTTCGGGGCCATTATGAAGTAAAATAAAGGTGACTTGAACACAAGCACTGCACTACCGCAACAGTCGGTCTGATAACCAAGACAACTGCTAAGCGACTAGTGGTGGGGAGTGTATACAGTGTGGATGTGCTGGACGAAGTATGAGTCATGTCCCAGATGGGATGGAGCAGGATGGGACAGCAGGAGAACTGTGTGCAGTTTAAAACTTGTGAATTGTTTACTTCTGCTATTTTCCATTTTATTTATTTATTTATTTTTAAAAGATGACCGGTAAGGGGATCTTAACCCTTGACTTGGTGTTGTCAGCACCACGCTCACCCAGTGAGCAAACCGGCCATCCCTATATGGGATCCGAACCTGTGGCCTTGGTGTTATGAGCACCGCACTCTCCCGAGTGAGCCACAGGCCAGCCCGCTATTTTCCATTTAATATTTTTGGACCGTGGTTGACCACAGAAAGCAAAACTGCATCTAAGGGGGGACTACTGTATTTACTTACTTGTTATTCTGCCTCCCCTGTTGGAGAGTAAGCCCCACAGGTCACATAGATCTTGTCTGTTGTGTTTGTTGCAGTAGCACTAGGACATAGACTTTCTGGCAGGTAGTAGACACTCAATACATACTTTTTGAAGGAATAAATAAATGATTGAGTGAATTAATGAATCTCAGTTTTACACTTGTGGAGACTGTCGCCCAAGTAAACAACCCATCTTGATCATTTATGGAGTTAATGGCAGAGCTGGGATTTCAAATCAGGTCCCTGGACAACAAACTCTTTTCACTAGATCTCCTTGTATTCCACTTGGTATCATATATGTTGTTTGATTTAAACTTCACAATGACCTTGGAAGCATGTGGTATTAACCCAGTTTTACAGATGATGAACCTGTGGCACAGAAATATTACCTTACATATCTAAATAAGTGGGTCCAGTGGTGAAGAATGCAGTCACGGGAGTTGGACAGCACAGGTTAGAGCTCTGGCTCCCTACTTGTCAGCTCTGTGTCCTGGGAAAATTACTTCATACTTGCCTCAGTTTCTTCACCTGTAAATGTAGTATTCTAATACCTGATTCACAGAGTTGTCTTAAGGGTGAAATTAAATAATGGATGTGAAGCCTTTGCTCAGTGCTTGGTACATGGCCCTTGCATACTGACTGCTTACTAGTATGTGTATTTATTGTGAGTTGGGGCTT